AGGGATTTATACAAGGAAATAGAGAAATACACATAAATCTTGCGATATTTTATCTTATACATTAGCCTCTTAGCTCCTTCATAAAGACCTTACCTACTTCCTACTTGATAGTAAATCCAATTATGCCTGGTCCTCCAGCGCAGAAGCCACTGCCAGTAAGCTTTTCATGTACAGACTAAAAGCTCCTGAGTGAGCTGCTGAAACTTGAGACCAGCAGGATGCCTGCTTTCTAAGAGGATTGCATCCTCCCTGGGCACTGTTCGACAGAGTGCTTCAGACACGGCCCATTCAGTGAAAGAGAGGCTGACATTTTTGCTAAAGAACACTCATTTTATAGCACAGGCATTGATTTCTCCCTAAAGAGATAATACACCTATTATTCAATCAGTTGTGGGTTTTGGTTTTTTTAAATAATACAAAGCCATTATTTCCATTTGAGCACTTTTGTCTCTGCAGCACTGCATTTCTATTTTTTTTTTACATGTATATACACAGGTTCCAAAAGCCAAGGGTGGAGGGGAGAGGGCTGCCAGCCTGCCTCCCCAACACCAACAGGCTAAAGGTGCCCATACTGGCCTGCCTGTACCCGCTGCCCCAGAAGCAGGCTGATGCCTGGATTTCTGCCTGGTAAACACTGGGGGGGTGGGGGGGAAAGCAAAGAAAGGAAAAAACTGGCTGCCTTTCTAGGGTTCACTTAGAAGTTGACAGAAGCTGCTGTCCCTCATTCTTGACCACAGGATAAGGGGGGGCTGAAAAGTCTTTCCAGATACATCAGTGCCTCTGGTAAATCAAGGTTCCTCTGGAGACAAAAAGTATTCAGACAAATGGGCAGGGAGAGTAATCACTGTTGGAAATAACCTTCCCTACTGCGATAGCTTCACCCTTTCCTCCTGACATTCAATCCTTAATGTTTGTTCTTGCAATGCATTATCACATGTATCACACACATCTCGCATACTACCATTTATTTAAAGAAATGCCATTTATTTAAACAAAACAAGAAAGGGATGCTTCAAAGTATGTACTACGTCTACGGACATCTTAAAGAACCCTGCTCCGCTTAATGGTGGAGGAGAAATCACTTGTTTCACCTTGCTCCAAATGTCAATGTTCTGGAAATATCTATTATTTAAGTTTTGAAAGGCCATCAGACAGAGGCAACAATGCAGTGCTCTATCTCCAGTCATCAGAGAAAGGAAGAAGAGAAAGGTATTTGTGCATATGGCATTTCTTTGAAGTTGCTGTACATCTTCAAAGACACTCTACATTACAGAAGAGCTATTTTCTATCACCATGGCAAATACATGATGTGTAATTATGTGTAAAGACTCAGTCTATATGATTGCTACTTCCTTGCATCAAATCTCTGCAAATGTTTAAGGGAGTTATATCTCAATTTATATTGGAAGGTAGAGGAAAGGAAGAGAGTTACATTTTCATACAGTGAGGGAGAGGCAAATTTTTATTTAATAGCTGTACACTGCACATTAAAAATTGAACAGCTTTATAACTATGCAAGTTATAACTTGTTTATACACACAAAAGTAAGTATTTGAGATGAGTAAAATGTAGTATTTAATTAAGTTTCTTTAAAAATGCAGCATCAAGATGGTATGGGATTTTTCATGCATGACAAGATACAAACTTGATTTTAAATAAGATACTTAAGCCGTTTCCTGATACAAAAACCCCCTTATTTGATATAAGCTTTGAAACGTTCAACAGAAAAGCACAGCTAGTGGAAAGCAAGCACTGATTATAATCCAGCTGCCCATCTCTTGTGTTTTTTGTATATGATGGTTCTTAAACTATTGCTCCTGCCATCTTACTGTGGGGCACCAGAACCTGAACAGCTGGAAGCACAGTCTTCCTTGAAAGCAGTGTATACACCAGGCATACACAAAAGGACTCCTGTGCTTTTGTGTAATTTAATATCTTAAATATCTCGTACCTGTTGGGATAATCAAGTTGCATTGATTGGTTAAGAGGATTTTAGTGCAACACTGATGTCCCACCTACTCATCTCCCTACACTGTCCTCCTGCTACTTCTTGTAGGATTACTTTCACAGCCCAGAGATGCCAGTTTTGGGAATGCTTTTACAACAGTAGCATCTGGCCCCTTGGCACACTCCTCTGAACTGTGGCAGCTTGGCAGTTGCCTTAAGGTACATCAAATGGTCAGAAAGCTAATAAGATAGTTCACTATCCTGGACATCATTTTTCCGCTGTCAGCAATCTTCAGATTTGTCCTCACTTTTCCTTCAAAGCATATGGCAACTTGGTGCCTGCTTTTCTTACACATAAAGGTCAAAGCATTGTGCTAATGTTTTAGAATCCTGGTAAGAAAAGCCTCCGATTTTGCTAAGCAAATAATTTTTTGTCCTGGTTTCGGCTGGGATAGAGCTAATTTTCTTCATAGTAGCTAGCATAGTGCTGTGTTTTGGATTTAGTACCAGAAGAATGTTGATAACACACTGATGTTTTCAGCTGTTGCCAAGTAGTGCTCAGACTACTCAAGGACTTTTTGAGCTTCTCCTGCTTGCCCAGGTGCATAACAAGCTGGGAGTACAGCACAGCTAGCACAGCTAACCCAAACTGACCAAAGAGCTATTCCATACCATATAACGTCATGCTCGGGGGTGGGGTTAGTTCAGTCGGTCGGTCGCGGGGAGACTGCTCGCGGCTCGGGGACTGCTTGCGGCTCGGGATGGGCTGGGCATCGGTCGGTGGGTGCCTTGGCACACTCCTCTGAACTGTGGCAGCTTGGCAGTTGCCTTAAGGTACATCAAATGGTCAGAAAGCTAATAAGATAGTTCACTATCCTGGACATCATTTTTCCGCTGTCAGCAATCTTCAGATTTGTCCTCACTTTTCCTTCAAAGCATATGGCAACTTGGTGCCTGCTTTTCTTACACATAAAGGTCAAAGCATTGTGCTAATGTTTTAGAATCCGATTTTGCTAAGCAAATAATTTTTGAAAACATGTCTTTCATAGCTTGGATAAAAGGTAGGGAATGGAAGGAAGTGGGAAGGAAACTCATTTTCGACAGTAAATCCCTTCAGGTATCCAACTGGAACTGCAGATAAGCATTCTAAACAAGTATTCAGTATCAGCGAGGGACATTCTTCTGCTGTTGTGCATGCATTCCCCTGGGAGCAGGCTGTGCACCTTGCCTTGCAGAATCAGCAAACACTTGCAGCTGAGCTCTTTTTGAAATGTATTCTTAACAGTTTCACAGGTAGCCTCAAGACAGGCTTTTACACAGATTTGTTCTTTGATGAAAGCACTCTGACAAAATGGAAATGGCATTACTGGCAGCCAGACACATCCTTATTGATAGATACAGCTATCCAAATTCTAACCTGCCTCAAACCTGGTCAAGTAGACCCTACTGAAGTTTCCATTACACAACACAATGATCCATCCTCCTCATCATCATCATTATACACCTGACGGATGGATTTCAGAGCGAGATGCAATTTAGATCCAAGTAGGAAAGGGCACATGTCTAATGTCCTTAATTCCCTGTCCATTGTGCCAGCCATGCTTCTACTAGGAATGAGATTCCCTGTGGGAATCAGAAGGCTTATATCAATCCAAGATACTTCCTCTGTTGCCAACATCGTGTAAATAAGGAGTAAAAATAGGCTTGATTTACACACACACACACACACATCCATATATCCAATATATCATAAAAAAAAAAAAAGAAGACACCAATCCATAAGGCAATCAGTATCCTTTAAGGATAAATTTAGCATTAAGAAAAAACACATCCTATTTTACAGAATCAGTCTTATTTCTTAGGGAAAGGTAAAACTTAAACAAGAGCTGTGAAACCAAACTAATAGTCTTCTCCACAGAATCAAAGATGACTGACCATCCTTTCCATATGGCATTTTTGTTCTATACAGATCAGTAAATTCTTTGATAATGCACCTGTCATTCTTAATCAGAACTTGATCTAAAACATTCATTATGTGCCCAAGGTTGACTTGACTTGTATCTCAGAGTTCTTGAACCTTTCTCTTTGAACAAGCTAGTGGTATAAAGTAACACAGTAAATCTCTGTTCAGAAAGACAGCAATCTTATTTAGCGTTTAAATGTACTTCACAGGAAGAGATTCAAGTACTTTTTACTGCTCCTATGATTTAAAGATCTTAATTAACATCAGTTTTATTTCCCAAAGGAAAACAGCTGCTCTTGGTGACAAAGCATTTTCAGAGCACTCCACAAACTGAAAGCTGAACTGAACAGTATCACGTGCACCCATAGCAAAGCTTTCAAAAACCTTTCAGAGGGGAAAGAAAAAAAAAAAAAAAAAAAGGAAAAAGCAGCTTTAATTGGATAAGACTGAAGGGTGAGCAGGTCAGTAACTGCTCCATACAGTAGAACACAGAGCTCGCAGATACACAAATCACTACAGAGACTCCTTCACAGCCCTGGAAACACTAACGCTAGGCAGCACAAATTCTAAAGATTTTGAGCTTTTCTAGATGCAAGGCATTTTGTTTGGTTTTCACTGGAATTTAAATTGCAGAAGAAACAACTCTTAGTTCAACTTTTATATAAACGAGAACAGATTGTATCTCCTGACCCTATAGGGACTTATATCTCCCAAAGAATGCCAAAAGAACAAAGTAAAAAGAGAAGTCAGTGAAAATTACCGTGCAGCCTATATATAGCTATATTATTAAAAAGCTTAGGCAAATAATCCTTAATGGAAAACTAATGTAAGGAATATTTTTTTTAAAACAAAACAAAAAACCACAACTTACTTCTAACCAGAATTTTTAAATAGAAGTTAATTGCACAGAGTTCTAGGGCAAAGTTTCATAGTCAGAGAAACACTATCATTTAAAAAAAAAAAACAAAACAAACAAACAAAAAAAAAAACGACTGAAGTGACCAAACTTCTGTTGTTGCATCTCACTGAAATACTGAAGTGACAAGACAAATAATCGTGTAAAATATATATACTTTTTACAGACACTTACTTGAATGGTGTGAATAGAAATGACAGTGTAGTTTCCTTTTTCTGACGCATCTTAACCTGCATTAAAAAAAGCATGAAACCATTACATACAAGTTATGACTAAAAATTGTATAAAAAATTAAAGTAAAAAAAAAAAAAAAAAAAAAAAAAAAAAAAAATCACAGAAGAGTTCTAAGACTTTGGAAAAGGAATGAAATCACACTGTCAGTATATTGTCCAGGAAACTGAGTGTTACACTCCTGTATGTGTAACTCTTCTGGGTTTCTGGAAACTCAGACCTGCTCTAAAGTAGGCAAAATAAACAACTCCTCAGCCAGTGACTTTCACAGAAGGACTTCTACAGTTTGCAGGATAAAGGGAAGATACAGCTGGAAGTGCTACCAGACTTCAGTGAGAGCTTCCCCTTGACGAAACCTGTATTCTTTATGCCAGACAGTGACCAGTACATCGCAGCAACACTGCCGAAGCAATGCTGTTAGATTGATTAACCTGCACATGGATAAAAATAGAAAGTTTTGATGCTGTCAGAGCCACTTTGTCCAAGGCCCTTCAAAACATCTTTAAGGCCTCCTACAGCAGCCGACTTGAGTCTGACTGTCGGCAGAAAGCGCAGACAGGAACTTCTAAGCGTACTGCTCCCAAAACCTGACAAGCTTGAAGTAGCAACTCACACGTCTCATCCTATCCATCCAAGGCAACATCCTCTCCAGGGAGTACAAACTGTGGTCAGGTCAGCTCACACAAAAAGTAAAAACCCTCTTGGCATGTCTAAGCCAGCGCACCACTACTGCTTCAGCAGAGAAACGCAAAGGAAATTCACACACGATCCTTCCAAAACAACGCTAGAAACAAGCCAGCCAACAAGAAAATAGATAATTTAGCACTACAAAATGACAGAATAAAAATAAACTTAGATAAAGACCGTAACTACTTCTTTTTTTAAATAATCCCTGAGACACCAATCTAACTGAAAAAGACCTGAGTCACATCTTCAATTCTTAGAGCAGAGGACTTCCAACTGTGGAGGTTATACACCAGCACGCTTCAACTTCACAGCCAGCCAGCCACTTCCCCTGCTACGTGCCAGCTTTCCACCACAGATTTGGAAGTGAATCTGCTACTGAAACTGCCAACCTGGTATCCACACAAACTACATTTAGGAACATAGCATTCAAGGGACAAAAGGTGCTGATGGTGTTAATCACTTGAAGGTACTCTCAGGCTAGTTCCTTGTTCCACCATCACACAGATTTCCCGACAGGGCAACAGTTCTCTCTCTCAGCTTCCTGTCCATGGAAAAGACATTTTTTTCCCCTCAGAGCATTTATAGGTCTTGCCAAAATTGAGATTTTGGGATATGGAACTGGTTTATTCCACAACTGAAAAGCATCTAGTGAAACATAACCTTTTTTTGTTTGGACCACATATGTGTTCTCATAATATGATAACATCTGATATTAGATGAATCAAGACAGAGAAGCCAGAGATGAACACTTGCAGAGCAAAACAACAGATATGACAACATTAGTTAAAAGTGAATTAGGCCGCTAATTTCATTTCTTCAATGGACAGGTGCCTGTTACCTTTTTGATCTGTTTGTGTACTGATCCTGACTCACAGCCTTGTCTCCCAGCCCCTGGTGCAAAGGCAGTATATTTCCCTATTCAGGTATCAGAACTCAGATTCTACTCACATACTGCAAGTAGGTTTACATTAATATTGATAAACATCAAAAGAATCAAGTAAAAAGTTACTCATTCTTCTTACAAAGAATGTGCTTATTAAAATCTTTCGAACTCATTCAGATATGGCTCACAGTTAGTCAATCAACATCACCCAGTTCGCGCATTCAGTTTTAGTCCTTTGAATTACAGCATGCTATATACAGGGTATGTCCTAGTATAATTATTTTACACACAGCAACTATTATTCAAAGACATATTTTTCTTTAGCGTATGTTTAGTTACCTTAAATTGCTCGAGAATCTGAACAGCGTTGGTAAATATGCTCTCTGCTTTGAAATGAGCACTATTGTTCAGATATGCAAGAGGCAGAGTTCCCTGGAGAAGAAAAACACATATATACATAAAAAAATTTAAATGAAGAAACAGAAATTTCTCTAACTGAATGGCAGGCCAAACGAGCAGTAAGAATACTTCAAATTACTGCTGACATAACTACTGTAACTCCTTTGAAAATACTCTTCTTGCATAATTTCTCAACATTACACAGACTGCTCATAATACCCCAGCTCCTACAGAAATACAAAAAAGGCAAATAACAGAAATTTTTATTAAAAGTATATACTATATAGGAATACAACCTCAACTTTTAATTGGGAACAGCTTTTGAAATACCTAAAAGTCTTTGATCCAAAGACTCGCCTGGGCCTGACTCCCCCAGTACTTGTGATGGGAAAGCAAGCAGTTCCTGTACCACCCTACGTTGGGCAGCTTTCCTTGCATTACCAGCAGTGAGTGCAGGACAGGGGGACAGAATTTGAGGCAGAGTCTCCAGAAGAAATATTTCAAAATTATTATGCTGTAAATAGGTGTTTTAAAAACGAAACAAGCAGCATGAAAGCACACTAATGTAATGCTAATTGTCAATTAGATATTTATGAGACAACCTTTGGACTACATAATAATGCACAAAGGAAATTCAAAGGAAAAAACATCTCACAGTGAGGGCACTCACTGTTCACTTAATTAGAGGCACAAGATACCATCTGAAGAAAGTACACCAGTTTAAACAAGAAATAATTAAACATTAAATTGCAGGAACCAGCTTGTTTACAGGCTCAGCTTTCATGATCAAAATCAAGTGTTATTCAAACCATATTGCATTTTTACCATCCCTAAAAACCAAAGGAACAAAAACTTTTATGTAGCTCAAGAGTATACAGTTGCAGATTATAAGAGGATCAGCTGCCTTTCCAACTGAAAGCACTATACAATATACAAAAAGATTGAGTTTATACTCCAAACTGAAGACATACATATAAAGCTAAAACTACAAGCAGTCTCCACCACCTATAGCAGTTGTCCAAATTTATAACCTTTCCCCTCACGTGCATCAAGTCTTGACCCCAATATTTCTTTACAGATTTCTATAATATGGAGAAACGTCTGTACTTCTTACCACAGAATTCAGGGGGAAAGGCACACCGATAAGGGAAGCCATCAGCGGTGCAATATCAGCCTGTGCAAACAGAAGCATCCCCATTTTAACATAGTTCCAGCTTCTAGAGCTAATAAATTCAGTTTAATTTTAACATATCTGCATTTCCAAAAGTAAATGGTGTAATACTGTGAAGTTATGACACACAAAACTCCTTTATAATATTTTTTAGTTTCCAGTAGTCATCATGGAACGATTAGATTCAAAATCTGAGGCTCTAGTACTGATAAAGCTTCAAAAAATGCATTTAGTTTAAAAAGCAAATATAAAACCTCGCAGTATTTATTCACAGGAATTCAGTACCTTGTTCACTGCACTCAGAGGCATACCACTTTTTATGACTATACCACAGAAAGAACTAATTTCATATTTACAGTTTTAAGTAGTACACCGAATATACTGCTTTTCACAGCACTCCTTATCCCGTGTTTCCACAGTGCCAATTACTCACCCTCTCCCCTTCAGAGGGGGATTCTGCACTTTTACTCATGTCCCAGTCAGCCCTCAGGAAGGGCCCTCAATTTACACCAAGACTTCTCATAAAATGTTTCCATCACCTTTTACTTGTGATGATAAACAATGGCTCTTCCCAGGTTTATTTTTCCTTTAATATAAAACTAGGCACCAAAATTCTTGTTTTTTCCAGCATAAATCTGAAGAAAATATACTGAATATACAGGCACTGCTCCAGCCTCAGATCTACTGTGCAGAAGGGGACTCGAAACCATTATTTGTAGAGGACAATATACATGTAGTATAATAGTAAGCAGAAGTCTAGTTTGCTGTTTTTACCCATAGTCCCCCATGTACTACAGGACAAAAGCTGTGTCTTTGGGGACTCCATTACCCAGAACAAAGTGACACTTGAGACTCTTCTACATGGTCTCAAAATAACATCCCCATAACTCCTGTCAACCTTGAGAGGAAAATTAATCTCTAATTTTGTACCAGGGCTTTGCTGCAAACACCTGAGCAAGCAAGTTTCAGGTGGACACATGTATGTGTGTTATCACCATGATTTAAAAAAGCTTGGCTGACTTAGTATCAGGGGTTAAGTCATCTATCTTTTTTTTCTTCCTTTACAGTACCAATTGTCTAAATTGCTAAGTGGGTGGGCCGTAATCACAGATCCTGTTGAAAAAACACCACAGTTTAACAGGATACCAAGAATTGGTTTTGATTCAATAATGACAGTAACTTCTGGAAAAAAAGTGACAAAACAAAGACACTGAAATACATAGTTCTGAAAAAACTACACTGAACATACACATGGATAACTTAAAGGTAGCAAAAAGCATACAGCAGATGCTCACTAACTTGGGAAACATGGTCATCAGACTATGCTTTCTTTCTGTTTAGCTTGGCACTTTCACAGGAGACACCGAGGAGGTGTAAGCTCAGCTCTCAAAGAGTTTTGAAGTAGAAAGTGCAGGGAAAGCATCACAAATTACTTCTAAAAGTTTGCAAAAGCAAATAGCCTGAAAATGTGTTAGATGCTATTCAAGTTACTTTCAGATAATGCATTGAGTTTTCAAGGAGTACCTGGCATATTGTACCACCCTCTTTCTACAATGACATGTGACCACATAACTAAAAATAGTGTGATAAGGCATCTTCAGGAACAGAAGTTGTACACAGCTGCCATGTGTTAACAAGCAATATAAACTTTTTCATATTATGTCTGGTATGGGTGCGGTTCTCATAACTCTTTTAACATTTAAGTAACACATTCCAGGGAAATGCTACGTCAGTGTGATCATTCATTCAAATTTCATCAACCAGTTTTAATCACACAAAAGTCATTTGTGAGCTATTAAATTAGGTATATTTGATACCTGATTGACATCCAGCCTCTTCAAATTCTCCAGTTTCCATTCTGCAAGAAATAACAGGGCACATGAATGGCTAACCTACACAGATTTGAAAGGGATAACTGAAAGCTGACATTTAATGCCATATTGCTGATTTCTGTAAAGTGTGGTTACTAAAGAAAATTATAATTTGGCTGTAGGATGTGAGCTCAAGAGGCATTACAGACAGAACTCAACAGGCAGAAACAATAAAATGCTTTCATTTCAGTTCACATTTCCTTTTATCCATCAGGATAAATTGCTGCCTGCAATTGTGACCCAGAACAACTGAAGAAAGTCCAAGGTTCTTATTTTTTTCAGTACAGTATAGAAAATGATGTATCACGTCCTGTGCCAACTAAAAGATCCAAACTCAGGTTTAGGAGAAGAGCTGTTTAAATCTCTTCAACAGTTTTTAAAAAAGGTTAACCCAAGGTCCCCAATATACTGGTACAGAGTGGTACAAACATACTTCATGTCTGCTATAAGCAATACCGGCCAAGAGCAAGCTCAAGGGAAAAGTTCAATGATTTAGCAATCAGAACAACTACAATAACAGCAGAGACAAAGCCAAATGTACAAGCCCCTAAAGCTGTGGTGCATCATACAAAAAGCTGGTTGGAAACGATATTTTCCTGCTCTCCATTAGCCTCTAAGGAAATAAAGAGATTTTTGGGGGGGGGGGTGTTTAAGACTTTTTTTTTCCTAATGTTTAAATTTGCTGCCCCACTACCCACAGCAATAATACAAGCAGGAAAAAGAAAAAGAACCAGCAAAAAACCCCCAAAACACCCGAAAGAGATGACATGCAGCCTTTTTTTTATTTAAGCTTAAAAAAAAAAAATCAGATACACAGGAAAACACAACAGGGGCTGAAACAGCTTAGTTGATTAGTATTGAAAATACTGTTAGTGGCCTACATAGAGCAGATCTCAGGTGCAACAGTAAAGACATTGGGGGCACTTACTCTCAATTTGGGAACCAAACTTACTGTTAGCAACAGGGGCACAGCCACCTTCCCCAGTACACACAGAAGGCTGAACGGGCCAGTCGCCACCCTGCTAACGCCGCTTGCCGAAATGACACCGCAGAAGAAGCAGCACAGACAGAAGCAGGATTCCACCTAGCACCTCAGACCATTGACAGTGTAGCCACGTTGCCCAAAATTATCCTTTGGGTTTGCGTGACGTAGAAGTTTAAATACACCAGAAACAGGCTTCATGAAAAACACTGCTCAAAGGTCTGGCTCAACCTCTGTTAATTTTCTCCAAACAGGCATTCAAATCCTATACCATACCACCCTTTTTCCACCTTTTGATACTCCCTGTCTGTGCCAGACCCAAACCTGTCTCAGCTGAAAACACCCCGAGACAGGTATCACCCACATTTGCAGTACTGCATGTACCAAACTTATTTTCAGCAACGAGTTCATACCACTGCTAGCTGCAGGAGTCTGAGTACAGGTCCACTGTTACTCGGTCCCCAGAGTTCCCTGAAGAGCAGCCATGTACCTTAACAGCAGCGAGATATACAGTTACAGCGAGTTCCCATGGCAACGCAGGGGAAGTATTATCAGCATTAATCATGAATTGTGTTAAACTCACACCAAAATGAACGAGTTTGCTTCCTTTCACTTCCCAGAAAAGGAAATGCGTTTATTTTTCTAGAGGTATAGCCTCTCTATGCATTGTTTGTTTTCCTTTAAATAAAATTCTCCAATGAAAAATGCAGGAAAACTCTACACACACAGCGTGCTTAAGGTAGGAAGAAACTGTAGCTCTGCTAGAGAAACATCTAGCTTCATCAAAAGCTTTTACATCTCTGCTTCCCCTACGGCAAAGAGTTGAAGACATCTGCCTTGGACTAGGAGCAGAAAGACACTCAGCCCAGGGGCTCCCGAGGACTGGGACACACCTGCAGACCAGCCAGTCCAGGCTGTGCTCCTGGGAGTGAGATGCCTTGGGTGGAAGTGCTGCCCACACTGGTTTACGATTCCAGCTCACTGTCTAGGTTTCCTGTACGGTGCTCAGCACAGTTTTCCACCTGCTTGACAGGGGTATTTTTCATTATCCTACTCTGCTTTTACTGCATCCCACTGGGCAGTCACATGCAAACAGTCCAGGGGAAACAGCAGGGAAGTGCCATTTCAAGAAGTTGAGGCTACATGAACCAGAAGAAAATCCTCACATAAAACCTCACAGAAGCAAAAACAGCAATGGGGTACACTGAGCTCCCTCAGCCACAGCAAACCAGGCTGAGCCTCCTCCAAAACAGGGATGTGTAGGGACGAAAACAACCACCCCACGTCCTGCTGCTGCAGAAGGCTGTGCCTTCACTTACAAGCTTCTCCGGACTTGCACCCCAAGGCCACCCGGCGGGGACTGCACTGAGGAGCTGGAGAGCAGCTCTGTATTCGCTTTCTTTCTAAAGAAGGGTCAAGCCAATGGCCAGATGGGTAACACTACAGGTTGCCCACAGGATGCAGGGCTGCCACCACAAATCTTTCCAAGGTGATTGCACGTCCAGGCCTGAGGGAAGGCAGAGCACAGGTGAAGGGACTGATGAGGAGAAGGCTGTCATCCCAGAGCAGACACTGCGCCCTTCCGGCCATCCAAGGAGCACATCGATCTTTCCATGACAAATTGGATAGACTAAGTCCTGCCTGTTGGTACTGCCTTTGGGGGTATCGACCCTCATTGGCAGTGATGAGCAGAGAGACAATTCATAGAGCTGCCGACAGCCTGTCTGCACTGAACAAAACGCAGTACGTTTGCCAGCATTAGAAATATTCTGCTGTTTCCATGAACTCTTAAACTCTTGTGTCAATAGACACAAGAACTTGAACATCGGTGCACACAACTGCAAATATCAGTTGGACACCCGCATACATCAGTGACACAGCAGTTCCTCTCCTGCACAGTCTCAGCTGCATTCGTATGGAGCACGAAAGGCAAATTCAAAGAACTTTCCAAGCAACCTCTTTTAAGCATCTTTTCTTTCATATGTCAGCTTTGTGAAAATATCTGGGATTGTAATTTAATGGCGTAGCTGAACTGTATCGTCCTGAAAAAGTGTTGAGTTCCAGTTTAACAATTTTTTCTTTACTTTTAAGCTACATAGCCTGCTAGAAGCTACAACGTACTACCATAGAGAGAATAGTCACTTCTTTAAAGATACTTGTTACTCAAATAGAGATTCAAACGTACTACCATAGAGAGAATAGTCACTTCTTTAAAAGATACTTGTTACTCAAATAGAGTATCCCAAGATACTCAGAGACACTCAAATCTCCAATAGAGATTATCCCTGGCAATTAAGAACCTGTAAAGACAGTGTCTAAATAGACCAACAACATGCTCAATAGCTGGAAAGCTGCAGAGTTGCCATCCAGAATGAAGGGAGGATTTTCTGATGTTTGCTTTGGGTGTTTGGTTTTTTTGTCTCATTGTTGATTTGTTGGGGTTTTTAAGCCATGGGAAGGAAAATATGAAGGAGGCACAGCAGGGTGCAGACACATTCCCTCCTTTAAGAAAATACACATTTCCTAACAGATGACAGCCAAAAAGCTTTCCCTATTGTGTATCTGGAAGTCAGCTCAATACTCATCTTTTCTGAAATGATCTCACACCATTTTCATCATTGCTTGAAGTCAAACATTGAGGTTTGTACTAAAGCTGGTAAGAATCAAGGAAATTGACAGCTGTAAAAATCAACTGTTACAGATCAAGCCTTAGAGACATCAAGTGTCCTTCGAAGTCTAGCAGATCAGCCATCACAGACACGAAAATCAGTTGGGTTTACTCTGTTTTCTATTTTTCATTCTACATCTCATTTTCAATGTTATCAGAGATGTCATCAGTTTATAGCAGCAGTTAATCACAAGGAGTGAAATGTTAGCATGGCGTATATCTGAGAAGTCCTGTTTCTGTAATCTGGTACCCAATACCTTCTCAAGAGCAGAGCGTGGTTAAGAGCTCAGGACTGAAGTAATTTTTGGCTGTTTTCTATTCTCTAACTTAGTTTGACAAACAATCCAATAAAACAGAAAGTTATTACCTCATTGATCACGAGTAACAACCTGAGAGATTCAAGGCATCTTAAGAAACAGAGCAGGCTACAAGAATGGGGCACATGAAAGAGGAAGAGCTTGCACAGTCTAATGCCACATGGTTCTAGAAATCCACTGGTATTTCAGTAAGCCAGTATTTATTACATTATATAGTTAAATATTAAAAATTAATTATTTTTTTAAAATCTACTCTTCTTATAAGTTACAAAGGAGGAAAATAATAGTAACGAGTCACAGTTGTTCATTGAGAAAGTCTGTTTACATTTCCACAACAGCCACAAGGATGCAAATGAGACAAGACGGCCCCTGGAAAGTCCCCAGGGTTATACTGTGAAGCTAGAAAAGAGTCTTAGGATATGCCAACTTACCATGTTTCTGTATACATAGCTTTTAAACTCTGGGAGACTTCCTAAGAATAAAGTCTCCTCTGGAACTAAGTTCCAGGAGTGCAAATAGCCTCCTGTACCCAAAGAGAGAAACTCTTCAATTCTACGATTAGAAAAAACCGATTCTGATATTATCTACCCAATCTTGCAATAACCTCCATAGGCATGCCCTGCCACCTTTTCTTTCCACACCACACAAAGCAAGTCATATTTATTATAATGGGACAGAAGTCTGAAGATCAACAGGTGTAATAGTTAAGCACCTACCTTTCCACCAAACTCTTGCACTTCGGTTTTATGTTTTACCTACCTTTCAAAAAATTGTCTTCAAAGGGCTGGGATGTGACTTTCTGTGGATAATTCACCCCAGCACCCCAAACAATCAGTGGTGTTAAAGTTTCTGAGGGATGACCAGCTCCATGGGATCCTAAGACACACAAAAGAAAAAAAGTGTAAACTTTAAGACACATGGTGTAAAAACAAACAAAACCTATATATACATGCACACATGTACTAAGTTCTTGTTACAGTATACATACTAAAATCTTATTACAGATAACCTATTCCAGCTTTTTTTATGTCACTAGCAATAAAGGCTAAATTCAAGTTGCAAGTTGGGAAATAGGTACCACTTAAGTCAAGCCTATGAAGATATAGCTTTGTATGTTACAAAACCCAAACTGTTAACATACAGAAACTAAAGCCAAAGTATTTGAAAACCTCAAGGCGTAGAGGAGTTACCTGCTCAAAACACATTCCTGTCCTTATCCTGAGCATCCCATGGAACCCAGGGATGGTTGATTTGAGTAAAATTAGGCACATGCCAAAAAAATCATATAGAACTGATCTCTGAAAATGAAGTCTAATCCTTATTTGGGGACAAAAACCAGGAGACAATACGCATTGCAACTGTCATCCTTTCCCCAGTAATGAAAGTTCATTTTTTAAGGTTTTAAAACCTGGTAACACACTCCTTAAAAATTGATAAAACATGACTTCCTTCCCCGGGGAAATTAATTCCCTCCAGATTAATGTATCAGCTGCCAAAAGGAGGAAGCTTTAGAACCATGATATCTCAACAGCAGCTGCACTGAAGCAGAAGCCACACAAGCTTGAAAGAAATGCTGGTCATTGAACTTGGTGGGTGAGGTACCACAGCGGTGAGGTAACCCAGTCTCAAAGGGAATGACATCGTGATACAAACTCTATGCCGGCCACTGCACAGTCTATAAGATTATACATTTTCCTTATATTTGCGTAGACACACACTCTTCCTTCTTTCTCTCTGTGTGCATATACATTTTTTAATAATTATGAAGGACGGAGAATAACACATTGGTTTAAGGACAACACACACACACACACACCCCAAACCAGGACTGGGTATGAAATTGGGAATAGCATTGAGGTTATACAACAATCACTATGGCAGAGCTGAAGAGTCAGTTTTGCTTTCTTTAAACAGCCCTAAGCTTAAGAACACACAGGTCTGAGAATAAGATTTCCAATGTTCGGCAATCCCTTGGAAGGCACTCTCTGGGCTCAAAAGCAACAACAAATGCTCTTCTTTGTAGAGCTTGGGAAAAGAGAGCAGATGGAAAGAGCACTTCCTCCATCTTCCAGACAACAGTTATTTCTTTCTACTGCAGGGGGAAAGTGCAATTTTCGGTGAGCTTTCATTTTAGCCAAGCTGCCAGCTCAATCAGCTTTTACTGAGAGTCTGCCTCCATGAATACAGCTGAGAGAGGTGGCTGTATCCAACCCTCCCCCTGTTGTAAGAACCAGGTTTCAGCCTGATCTGAATTATAAGGGGGGGGGGGGCAGGGGGGGAAATAAATCCGATTTTCAGCTGGGTCAGCACCCTGTTCCACCCCTCAGCACCCTCCAAAGGGAGGGAAAGGATGCTGCTGTGTAGTTTTCTGTTCTCTGGCCCAGCATAGGACACAGTAGTACTTGTGCCAGGATAGTAGCAGGAAAAAGTGGCCCAGGGGAGGGTGGGTGTGGGACCACCTATGTTAGTGGTCAGCAGTTCCATCTGAGATCAACTTATAGCACAATCATGGAGTCAGACTGAGAAAGCAAGTGATTTTATTGGTCTCCGACAACAACCACAGTTTCTTTGATCATGTCCTCTTCCCTAATTGGTCCCCCTGCCCTTTTAATTTGTTTTAAAACCGGTGCACATCCCATTCTGCAAACAACCACTGAAAGACTGCAGCAGTTGCTGATACTGCACGCTCAAATAAAAAGCTACCGAACTAGCCTTCAGACTGCTGGCTATGGGCCTGAGCATCATCTCTGGGTTTGCTCTTGGACTCACTGAAGTCAACTTTGAAGTTGATCTTCTGGCAGATCAAGCTTTTTCTTCAAGACAGAAAGAGATGAGAGAAAACTATGACAGACTAGGGGTCTCAAAGCCTGAAGAGTTATTCCTACCACCTTTTATTCCTCCTTCAAAGGTTCCAGTACATAATAGGAACACCCCAGCAGCACACTCTGGCAGCGAGGAAAGCCAACAGCACCCCCGGGCTGTGTTAACAGGGGCACAGTCCAGCAAAAGGATTACCCTCCTCTATTCAGTACCTGTGAGACAACATCTAGGCTCTGGATCCAGTTTTGGGCCCCTCCAGTACAGGAAAAACACCAACCATCTGGCATGAGCTCAATGTGGGGCCCCCAAATTGGGCGGAAGAGCACTTCTCCTGTGAGAAGAGGCTGAGGGACTGGGACTTGTTCAGCCTGGAGAAGAAATGGCTTTGGGGAGGACATAACCGAGCATCCTGCTTGTACCCCGCTGCAAGGGGGTTTGAGAGAGCATGAAGTCAGGGTCTCACTGTGGTGCATGGTAGAGGATGAGAGAGAACAGGTATATGTTGAAACAAAGGAGGTTCAGACTGCAGATAAAGAAAACCTTTTCCCCTCCATGAGGGCAGGCAAGCAGCAGAGCAGGCTGGACCAAAAGGGTTACTCAGGTTCCATCCTTTGAGGTTTTAAAGGCCCTGCTGGATAAATCCCAAGCAACCATGCCTGAGCCCAAAGGTGATCCTGTTTTGAGTAGGCAGTTGGACCTCCTGAGGTCCTTATGATCATATATATATTAAATAAATATACACACACACCTCCCTTATAAAAAATTATGAAATGATTACTTGAAAGAGACAAAAACTACATGCCAGAATTAAAATTTTATTGCAAGTGGCAGTCAGCTCAACAGTAAATAAAATTCAAAACAGGCTATTTTGCAAATGAGCAGATGGTAATTAGGCTGACTTTGAATAAATATACAAATATTTTTGTCATCTCTGATGACAGAAAAAATCTGCATCCCTTCCATTTAAAAAGTTTAGGATTTCATACACAGAATAAGATGCTGAATTTTGCCTAGACCATGCCTGAAGCATCCTCAGTTCAGAAGTATCACAGTTAGAAATTACAAACACACACAGCATTGGAAGAGAGACATCACTTTCATTGGCTTCACACAAGGACAGAACTGTTCTTAAAATTCTTGAAAAAAGAAAAAAAAGGAGATAAAGTATTTGTCTGAATGAGTTCACCACTGTAAACTCTTCTCATCTGCCTTTAATCTAGTTATACCAAAATTGCCTCAAGTCATTTGGCCACTGTGGTCATGCCCTTCACAAGAGCCCTCTGCGGGTACCAGCCTGGCCAGACACCTGCCTCACTTTCCTTTCCGCCCTCTCAGCTGCTCCTCCTTGTCTCCAGCACCAGCCTCCTCTAGAAAAATCATACAGCAGCCCCATCCTTTCTGCTCTGCCTAAATGGCCAAAATAAGCAAAAAGATTCCCCCCAAGTTTTTCACCAGCTCCTGGATAGATTTGCTACCTTTCCAGGTGCTTCAGAGCACCAAAGTGAAAGCTGTATCTCCCACATGGGCTGGAACAAGACCAACTGTTGGCAGCCAAATAACACAATCGACTCCTGCTTGGGCTAGTTTTCTGCAGGGAGGCTCTGACAGAGGTGGTATTCAGGTCTTTTTATCCCTACTAGCAGCCACTAAGGGAGTTAAAGCTCTACCCTATTAATTTTCTTTTTTCTGTCCAGATACGTCAGCTGTCACAGGGCTGATGACAGCCCCTGCAGCCAATTACATTTCCTAATTTCCATGGGTTTCATATACAAGCAACACTGAGGATATCGAATCAAAGCAGGGGTTCGAAAGCTTCTAAAGGGACAGAGCTCTAATCGCACAATACTCACCCATAAACTCAGCTGACTCAATATTTTAAAAGACTCACCCCAATCTGTCATTCCATGGTCAGAAGTTAAAATAAATGCAGTTTTTCCATCATTTTCATAGAAATCGTCAATCATCGAAGCAATTTCTTTTACACCCTCATCAACTTTTTTAATATTCTCCTTGTATTCCCTAGAGAAAGAAGAAAAAAGGTTGTTAGATTCATGGTGTCTCTCACACTTGGTATAAAGCAAGTTATCCAGGGTCATAATACCCAGTCCTTTGATTATAGACAGCTTTATCCTCTACAGAATCTCAAGCTGACAGAAGGCATCTTAGATGCAAAATCTCTCCTCCTCTAAGTCTTATGAGATACTAAACCATCACAGCACAGTTTGAATATTCCTGAAACTACAGTCTCAAATGGATGTCTATTTACATTTCAAATCTGACCTTGACTGAAGACTATAATTTAATCACCCGCAGCAATCAGGCAAGTTAAAGAGAATGTCAAAACTAAGGAATACTGGGAAACGCAAATGCCTTAAATTGTGAGTTTCAAAAATCACTTTAAGCCAGTAATTAGATAGCAAAGGAAGATCTGACCATGCAGGGACCATTTTGAGATGATTCACAGATCAGCACAGATCCCAGAGTACTGTGGAAGAGAAGCTAAACCAAAAATTTGTATATTTTTAGAAAAAGTTACCACGATTAACTTTCAGCCAACTAATTTTCTAAGTGTTTCTGTTGCAATTCAGTTTTAAAATTCTGTCTTCAAAAATCAAAACAAAAAGAAGATGAGACATACACCAAGTATGAATTTTGGAATGATGCAGGAAATCAGAGCAAGGAATTTGAAAGTATGCAAGTACCAAGAGAAAGACATAAATCCTACATTCAAAGCATGTGAGGAAATAAAAAGAAAGTTCAAATAACGCACTTCAAGATGAACTGGTGATGAGTACTGTTAATTTAAACTCTTCTCTTTGTTCAAGTGTCTAAGGAAAGCTAAAACGTAATGCTGGAATTTGCAGCCATTATTCCTGAGCTTACTGTTGTCTATAAATTCAACCATATCATTTCAGCCATGGGGAATCTGGGAACTGTTTCCATTTTATATTTAAAACTGCGATTTCCTACAAAACCGCTAGATTATGTGTTGACTATAACTAAGATGATCTGCTAAAAATCAGACTTGAATACAGGAGTATCACCAGACACACTGTACCAGATACGTCAGCTGTCACAGGGCTGATGACAGCCCCTGCAGCCAATTACATTTCCTAATTTCCATGGGTTTCATATACAAGCAACACTGAGGATATCGAATCAAAGCAGGGGTTCGAAAGCTTCTAAAGGGACAGAGCTCTAATCGCACAATACTCACCCATAAACTCAGCTGACTCAATATTTTAAAAGACTCACCCCAATCTGTCATTCCATGGTCAGAAGTTAAAATAAATGCAGTTTTTCCATCATTTTCATAGAAATCGTCAATCATCGAAGCAATTTCTTTTACACCCTCATCAACTTTTTTAATATTCTCCTTGTATTCCCTAGAGAAAGAAGAAAAAAGGTTGTTAGATTCATGGTGTCTCTCACACTTGGTATAAAGCAAGTTATCCAGGGTCATAATACCCAGTCCTTTGATTATAGACAGCTTTATCCTCTACAGAATCTCAAGCTGACAGAAGGCATCTTAGATGCAAAATCTCTCCTCCTCTAAGTCTTATGAGATACTAAACCATCACAGCACAGTTTGAATATTCCTGAAACTACAGTCTCAAATGGATGTCTATTTACATTTCAAATCTGACCTTGACTGAAGACTATAATTTAATCACCCGCAGCAATCAGGCAAGTTAAAGAGAATGTCAAAACTAAGGAATACTGGGAAACGCAAATGCCTTAAATTGTGAGTTTCAAAAATCACTTTAAGCCAGTAATTAGATAGCAAAGGAAGATCTGACCATGCAGGGACCATTTTGAGATGATTCACAGATCAGCACAGATCCCAGAGTACTGTGGAAGAGAAGCTAAACCAAAAATTTGTATATTTTTAGAAAAAGTTACCACGATTAACTTTCAGCCAACTAATTTTCTAAGTGTTTCTGTTGCAATTCAGTTTTAAAATTCTGTCTTCAAAAATCAAAACAAAAAGAACATGAGACATACACCAAGTATGAATTTTGGAATGATGCAGGAAATCAGAGCAAGGAATTTGAAAGTATGCAAGTACCAAGAGAAAGACATAAATCCTACATTCAAAGCATGTGAGGAAATAAAAAGAAAGTTCAAATAACGCACTTCAAGATGAACTGGTGATGAGTACTGTTAATTTAAACTCTTCTCTTTGTTCAAGTGTCTAAGGAAAGCTAAAACGTAATGCTGGAATTTGCAGCCATTATTCCTGAGCTTACTGTTGTCTATAAATTCAACCATATCATTTCAGCCATGGGGAATCTGGGAACTGTTTCCATTTTATATTTAAAACTGCGATTTCCTACAAAACCGCTAGATTATGTGTTGACTATAACTAAGATGATCTGCTAAAAATCAGACTTGAATACAGGAGTATCACCAGACACACTGTATATAGTAAATGTCTGTCACTTCTACAGGGGAGACCTTAAAACCAAAAAAACCCAGAAAATTCAGAACATAAATAATCATGGTGACATATATGACCTATTAGAGAAACCCTCAAGACTACAAGTCTTGTTTCAGGCTTGATAAACGGCACTGGTAAAAAAAGTTACTGAATGCATTTAAAACTAATAAGAAAGATATGCTTAATCTCTCAGTTACCTTGAGTTTGGCCGATGAGCATGTCCATTTGTGTCTATGCCTAGCAAATGAAGAAACAGAACCACTTTCTCTTCATTCAGTGCAGAGAACAATGTTTGATTACTTCTGGAAGAATTAAAGAAGCTCTGTATGGAATAAGCCATTAAGATATTAATCAGAGTACAAGGAAAAAGATGATAGGCAGCCTATTAAAAAAACCACTGCTGTTTTCATGTCAAAATACTAGTAGTGATTAGAGTTATGAAAGAGAAAAATTAATTATTTCCCAAATTACTTCTTGGAGGATAACTACCATCAATATAGTCAGTCCAAAGTTTCAGCCTAAGACAGGCAACACTCCTCAAGTGTTGTGGGATGTTTCTGTTTGGTTTAGTTTGATTTTTTTTTTTTTCAAATGTAATTTGATTTTCTTTAGGCAGAAATACCAGATAGCTCTGTATCATCCCTTCTTTGCCTCCTATGTAATCACAACTATGCACCATTCCACTTATGGCTTTGTATTTCCATTGATTTATCGATTTCAAGCTAGAAGCAAAGGTCTCAAATACTCTTGCTTTGGAAGCAGGTTCTGCAGGATTGAGATACCAAGCTACAACTCGTTTGCAGAAACCAAGTTAAAACAGAACGAAACAAGGCATGCCTTGCAAATACATGAACTACAGAACATACATCTGCCTTGCACATGTCCTACTTAAGCATCCCTGAGGCAGATACCAGGGGGATTTTCCCCTCAGATTGAATGAGTCTTGACATGGCTATGCTGTGTTAGACCAGCCATATGACCGCAATGCAAAATGCAGGCAGACAGCTATTCCAGCATGATCTCCTTAGTAACAGCACTGCCCAAGGAAACAAACTTGGGTAGGGTTTCAGTTCAAAGAGCATCCAGAGAACCTTTCAGTACACTAATATAAAGGAAAGTGTCTTCGAATTTCACACAAGAGCCCGGGGAATATGCTTCTACAGGCAGTGAACCATTTCTGCCACCAAAGGACGGAGCAGTCCACCACACACCTGTGATAGCAGTGGAGCTCTTAAAAACCAAAGCTCACACCCTGTGTAAACGAAAGTCACTGTACCCAGAGGAAAACCAAACTGGCAGCGAGAGTATCACAGTAAGCCGTGTCAGGAAACCATGGCAGTGCACAATGCCACCTTTTTTTCCCCCTGAAAATACACAAGCCGCATGGACTAATATTTGCACGCTCTTAACTTAAGCTCTTGTCCAAACAAAATCATGACCGAAGTCCAGAGATATTTTAAGTCAAGATACACGAACAAAATCCAATCACATTCAACAACAATATAATCATTTTTATGGAGATTTCCATTTCCCACAGGGGTCCATCCACCTGCACATATTTGACCACGACTGAAGAAGCCTTCCAGAACACACCACTCATTTGCAGGATACAGTATAATTCTGTTTTCCTATTTTTAATTAAATAAAAGGAAAGAATATATCAAAACAGACAAACAAGAAACTCCCAAAATTAAATCCTAAAATGTAGATCAGCATTAGAAGACAAGTATTTTTCTGTCACGGACTGATTAAACAAAAGAAACCATCATGAGGAAAGGCAAGGCCTGCGCTTCTCCTCTCCCACCAGACGAGTCCTCATGACATACCAAAGCCATCCCACTCCCCCAGCCACCCTGTAACCCAGAGCAGCAGCAGCCAGAAGAGCTTGCCCAACCTCTGGCTAATTAAGAACAAGATGACAAAAGGAAGATGAGAGTAACCTAAGACATGACATGTCTTCCCAGAGGAAATACCAAACTTTATCCTATGGACGATTTTTTTGAATGGTTTACTGAAGTAAACAAATAGGTTTTTCACCACAAGGAGTTATCTTAGGCTGATAAAGGTGGTAAGTTGGTAAGCAGGACACCAAACAGTAGGGGCAAAAACCACTTCACCTTGCTCTGGAGGTTGTTGAACTGTTTGTCCAGCACTATCCTTGTATCATCTTGCAGCCTGCTAAAGGCCTCTTCTTTTTGGTACTCAGCATTCACAAAACTTGTAGTTTTGTAGTTTGTATGTGTAGCACCACTCAAGACTAGTTTCCAAGCCACCATTATATGTTAACTATATCTTAGTCTTTTTGTTTGTTTGTTTCCCTTTTATTTGCTCTATTCAGTAACATTACCCCCCTTCTATATTTAAGCCAAAGGCCATCAAGAAGTTTCAGGGATGCAAGTAAACAACAAAGAGACTGAGAGAACTCAGTTTCTCCAGTCTCAAGAAAAGGCAGATAAGGAGAAATCTCACTGTTCTCTACAACCGTCTACTGGGAGGGTGAAGAGAAGATTGAGCCAGCCTGCTGAGGGCCTTGGTGACGGAACAAGGGGGAAACTCACAATTTGAAATGTAAGAAATTCCAGTATGATAAAGAGACTTTTAAAAACTATTTTTTAAACCATAACTGTAGCCAGATATTGGAACAGGTGCTCAAGAGGTGCCCTTGAAGATGCTCAAAATGTGACTGGGCAAGGCCTAAGCAGCCTGCTTTAACTGGACCTCCTTCATGCAGGGCGTTGGACTTGATGACCACTACAGCTTTCCTCCAACCTTCTTTTTCTATGATTCCAGCAACTTTTCTATGATTTTCTGGCAACTAACAACAAATAATGCCCTGGCTACAACTGATATGCACTTTAGTAAGATCAGCAATGTTTCCCATTAAAACATTCACAGTAAACTGTGAAGTTAATTATGATGTAATACTAATTAAAATGTTACAAGAGAAGTCTGGTTACACCTGTGTGAAATCTTTCAGTATCATCTCCCTCCTTGGATGGCAGAAAGCAAAGAAGAAAAAAAGACTACCTAGAAGGTCTAGCAAATACATGATTTACTGATGTCTGAACAAAATACTGACTCCATAGATGTTTAATAGGAGTTGTTTGGGACCATTTGCCCTCCATGGACGCGTGTTCCTTTAACAGAGCTGATAAACTGTTGCTGATTGCATGGATGTAGAGGGAGAAAGAGACCAAACAAGCCACCTCCTTTCACAAAGCTCCTTCATACATAAATCCAGGAAAACTTAATTAAATCGGTTGATTAAAGCTGTGCACACTGATTTGTGCTTATATGAGAGTTTAAATAGTTATGCCAGTTTTTAGATGCAAAATAAATGTACAAAGGCTGGATAAACATATATACGCCAGGTTTATATCAGTTGAGCACGCTCATGTATAAGACTCCTACACATATTTAAAATAAATCATTCAACCACTGTACTACTAGTTAGAACAGGGCTATCTGTATTGAAATCCACTGGTAGAAATCAACATCAGGTCATGGCACTGTCTGCAGAGCTTCAAAGTTTAACATCATTCAGTTCTGGACTCTGGCCCCCACCCTGCACAGAAGGGATGGTCTGAAGGATTGGTCTGGCCTTCTTCCAGCAGGAAGGGGCCAAAGGAAGAACAAAGTACAGTGTTCGAAATGAGAAGAAAAAAAAAAAAAAAAATTTGCCATCTGCACCTGCATATCCATTTAAGTCAAAAGACATCAACTGAATACCCTGAGTATATCCTACCCTGTGGTCATAATAAATTGTGGTTAGACCATTACTGCAACTCATCTCCAAGACTGAGTTCCTGGAATTTTAATCATTTTACCCTAAAAAAAAAAAAGGAAAAAGAATTCAATCTTACAAAACTGGTTTTCACAAAATACTTCAAAAAAACCTGAGAAATACATTAAAAAGACCATTTTTTTTCCTCTCAGTTAACCTAGACTCCCAGTATTTTGGTCCCTAATTTTTCTTTACCATGGACTCAAAATATGATCATGGTAAAGGTTATTTAACTGAGAATCATCGCGCCAAATCACACTAAATTATACTCAGGCCCTTAATTATTTTAAAGGCTCAAAAACCCCAATCAACTCCATACCCATCTGGATCTCCAAGCCACTCCCAACCTATTACCACACATTAAAATTACTGAGTTTTAACCCAGATGCAGATAAAAACCCCACCCAGTCTAGTCTATACTCAATTTTGTCTGTCCCAAGAAAGGGCTAGGATCACCTTATACCACGAGCAGACATGACAAGAGCTGTCAAGTATCATACATTTTTTCCTTCACTCATGATTTAAGCAATCTGCTACTGATCCATACAAATAAAAACTAATCAGTGTCACATCTCCTGACCAACTGAGTTATCATTAGCGCTTTTCAAGAGAACAAGCAATTTCAGGGTGCCAGCACTAGTAGAAACATTAGTTAGCCATTCTCCATTTTACTCATATCTTTTTGGGGGCAGAGGAAGCCACAAGTGGCCCTCATAATGCTTGGAACCTGCTGACTACACAGTAGAGAGGGAGTACACATTAGTGTCTTTTACTTCCTAGAAAGGCAGAAATCCAGGGACCACCTTGCCCAGCACAGAATTAAATGATATGTTGTTAACTATTTGAGATAAAACTCAAAGGAGAAAAAAAATGTAGGCAAAGCAGAATTTAGATTCCAGTAAATTGTCATTGCTACTTATATATAATCTCACCAGCATAGCTGAGTTCAAGTTATAATAGCAGCATGACCTCAGTTTCAGCCAGCCTCAAGTTTCACACTTCTGACGCAATCACTGATGTGTAATGGAAGAGATGATTAATGGAATCAGTGCTTTACACCAGTCAATCAAGTCCTATCCATTCACAGTATGAAATTTATATGGGCAAAATAAGTCTTTAAAATAATGGTGCTGGCTGCAATGAAAAAGTCATCAGTAGTGACATACATATTAAATGTATCACTATAGTTTGAAAGAAGAAATGCCATTAGGTGTTTTGAAGCAAAAGGAAGGTGGTACCACCCTCACATACCTGTGCAGCTCCAAATGACAGCAGGGTGCAACTTTAAGACAACAGCTATTCAAGTATAATTGACAGCCTAATTTGATTTGTATTATTCATACGCATTACAACATGAAACTTGGCACAAGTGCACATTCAGGGAGAGGATATTAGTTAGGAAAAACATCTTTTCACCTGCAAATTCAGAAAATCACTTCCTTTGAAAATTAGCAAACTATAATGACCTTTTCCACCCTATGTCACTGTTTAAAGCAGACCTGCCCTTGGCTTCCCCTAATACAAATGCTGATTTGGTTTATTGATGTATTTGGTTTTATTTTTAGTTTCATTGGACTTATGCTGGTTAGCATAATGCATATGGCCCAGAAATCTTGTGGAAGACGTTTTATTAAGTCTTAAACTCCATTAACATTGTTATGAGATCCAGAAAGTAACTCATCTAATTGTTCTACTGATGTAGATATTTATACACCAATACCCACTATCAGCATTTCTTAATCTGGGACAAGCGAGGTAGCATGGAATAACATTAATCTAGAAATTAATGAATAATCAGAAACTACGTGCCTTGGACTATTAATACTTACAGTGACAGTGTCACAGAAAACAACAGTAATGAACCAGCACTGACTCAAGTCAGCTGAGCAGAGCACCACGTGAACAAGTGATACTGCTTCAGGGCCTAAGCTGTCTCCCCCTCACTTCCTCCCCTTCCCCAAACTAACCACGACTCCTCTGGCAGCCGCAGCACAGTATGAACCACAGTAGATAATCATGAGCCAGCTACGTGCATCAGAACAAGCCACAGTGTTTAATTACAGTGGGTACAAAGCCTGACAAAAATTAAGTCAATAATAATGTCCACTTCTTTCTCATAATGAATACGTACCATTTCTGCCATGCCACAATACTTGTTACAAAAATTTTAGCTGATCACATCAAGATCTTAAAGGGTCTGTAGTATTCTAAGAGGGGTTTCAGATGATATGTAAATTTCAGACAAAGAAAAGCCAAGAATGTTTTGAAAGGATACTTCTACTAGTGTTGGGTTTTTTTATTAGCACTGAGTGACAAATACTTCCTCTAAGCTTCCATTACACTAGTCATGATAATTGATTCAAGCAATTTTTACCAATGACCCCAAGTGATAGATCTTTCAAAAATGTCTTAATTTCTAGTTCTATAATAAAGTTAACATGTTCTATGATAAAGTTAACATCCAGCTGTGCTTTTTATACACAGGTAGCTTAAGAAGATTCTCTGCTCACCTTAACGTGATCAAAAACCCAAGTGTCAAGCTTGGCTGCATCTTGTGCTCCAAAGTCTTCACTTTCTGCCGTGTAACAAAATGTATAAACGTGGTCTCCAGTAGCACCTACAAAAAACAATATAGACTGAATAGGAGACAGAGAAGAGTTTTCTTCCTTTTTCATAGTCAATTGTACATGAATATTCATGCATAGGAGTAGAAACCTATCAAACATGACAATCCTGAAATAACTCAAAGAAGTTTTCTCCGTATTTTAAACTTTCCCATCATTTATGGGTTTTTTGGAAGCCTGGTTACCATTTTAACCCATTAGCTTATCAGGACCTCAGAGGAATGAGGAGCAATATTATCCAGTGAGGAAATAAAGTATAGAAAAGCAAACAGGAGTAGAATAAATCCCAGTTAAAGCAAATTAAACAGAATTTAGTTTTGAAACAAGGAATTTCACTGAGAAACTTCTAACAGAGGAAGCTACACATTAAGAGCCTTGTTTGAACACACATGTTTGGGGGGGGAAACAGTGTTTAAGAAAATGTACTTAGCTTTTAGTTGTTAAACTGAATCATACAAGACAATGCCCTATCAATGAGGCCTTTTACGCAGGAAACATCATATATCACGTATAAGGAAAGATCAGGAGGGATGTAACTCTGTTACTGTACATCAATTCTAGGAGGCAATGCAGTATGGAAAGCCAAGTGGACAATTTCAGAAAGACAATAAAAGAGTCTGCATCTTTAAAACATGGATTCAAAATATAAAAGGGAGAACTACTGGACAATATTTAGGCATAAAGTACAACACGAGGGCCACTGATGTGAAAGCCCAGCATCTGGACAAGGCAATTTCATTCTGTACTCACTGTCAAGAGAGCAAAGCGGAGAAAGGGCGGGCAGAGGGGGGAAGATGAAGAGCTAGAAAGTAAACTTCTGAAGTCCTGGAAACATCTGAAGTTAAGTGGGGTTTAATGAAATAATTCAGTCAATGGCTTAGCTCTTACAGCTCGGGGATGCTACTTCTACCGTGACCACGTAAACTCCCAGAGGGAAAATATTCTTCTATCAGTTGATGGCCAGAGAGAATATAACCAATTTGCTGGATGTCACAATTATATAATGCAGTTTTGCAAGCTTCCAGGCTTGTGAATGAAATAACATCCCAGTAGAAGGAAGCTGTTTAACCAAGATTATGTCCAAACCCACACAAGGGATGCAGGTATTTCAGGCCAGGAAGATGAAAGCTGGCATAGATTTTCTGGTGCAGCTCCCCCCTGCCCCCCAGGAGACGTTACCACTACTTACAACCCAGAACACTCACTGCAGTTCTCACAGTCTGAAAGAAAAGGAAAGAAAATACTCACAGGCATTAAAAAGTGATTTAAGGAGTTCCAAGTGGCGGATAAAGGCGTTCAAAAGAAGAAATAAGCCCTGGCCATCACTGTCAGGATGAGTGATGGTCTAAGAGGGTAGAGCGCTGTACTGTTTTTTTGCAGTATCACAGCAAACCTGAGAGGTGCCATGCCAAAGAAATCAAATTGTGGAACAGGCAAAGGAACCCATCTACTGCAAACCCATTTCTAATTTCTACCAGAGCAAAACATAAACCCCACCCAACCCTGTAGTGCTAGAAAAGAGAAACAGTGGCAAAATGAAGCCATACTAGGAAAGTTTTGGAGTGCCTGCATAGCTTAAAATAATTCTTTTTTTTTTTTAATGAGAAAACCTACTATGCAAAATGCTACAAAATATTATTTTATTTCTGTCATTTGAGAGGTGGCAGGCAACAGTATGCCCAATACTGTCTTTAAGTCTGGGGATGAGGAAGCAAAGATGGGCTAGAGAAGTAGAAGGAAGCCATGGATGAGAACGTCCTTTAAAAGCAAGCACAGAGCTCTACTAAGTTTGGCGCTGCCATTACACTGAAGGAAATAACTGGAGGTGCCAGGAACTGCCACACCAGATACCACCTATTCCTATTGCAGACTCGTCTGGCAAATCATCTCACCCTCAGCATCAATATTCAAATATTAGGATCAGGGATCAAGTTATCACCCTTTTACAACAAGATTTACATCCTGCAGAAAGCAAAGCTCTCGCTCTGCTAGTGAGGCAGGTCCTGTGCCTGACAAGTCTTTCACGTGTCAGCGCCCAGACCAGCGGGAGACTTTTGCTAGCAAATTTTGCAGGCACAAAAGAGGGGGAAAAAACGAAGGCACAAAGACAGACACTGAGCCAACAGAGCGTGGGCATCATAGAGCTGCCAAACACAGACAGGTGAGGAATGTGAGAAATTCTGCATTTTTCTTGGTGCGCCGTAGAAACACGGAACTAGAAGAAGAGTTCAAGAGGTCAGTCTGTCCAGAAAAACCCTGACAAAGGTTTGTCCTGATTGTCCCCATGGTCTTGATGACACTCCTCTTCACACTCAAACTAAACAATGACCCTAACCTTGCTGCCAGTTTCCAAGAGGGCGAAAGGCAACCTGCGGTATAAACAGCAATCTGGGTGCAAAGGACTAAATATCCACTTCCATTAGCAGAAGCAACAGCCTCAGCTCCTCTTTCAGTATGGCATCTAAAATTCTAGATTATACTCCAACCTAGACCCATGGCAAAACAATACAGGACTGGACTGTTGAAGTCAAACGTCAAATTTCAGCAAGTCTAGAAGAAAAACTCAATTTAAAGAGATTTCTGGAAATAAATATAGACATATTCAAAGTATATTATTTTCAGTTAATTTCATGGTCATAATCTAAAAATATAATAGAAAATAAGGTTAAAATTAGCACACTGAATTTGTGTAGCTTAAGTTTAACTAGTAGAAACTAACACCTTTTAATCCTGCTTAAGATGGAAGTAAATTGCACACCAGTTCCAAAGGTACTTCAGATGTTTTCTCAGACTAAACCACTAATCACACAGTCATTGAGACTTCAACAAATTTAGATTTCATGCATATCTATTTTGATATTAAGAGATCCATGAGCATTTTATTTACCTTCTCTATAGAATCCTCAACCATTTCATTGAAATATTTATTTTATGACAGGAAAAGGACCTGAAGGACATAGACAATGACAGGAAGAAATGATTTTTCTCTCCTTCCCAAAAACCAGCAGGTGTTAGACACTCTTTATGCACCATCCAATGAAAGCGGTAAAACAGTCAACAAAATTCTGAACATTTTGGCATGATAAAATACACATAAGAGGAGTCCTGTGACCTCACTAATTTGCAACATGTGAAGAGGGAGAGAAATTAAACTATGGTCCCCTATCTCCTTTTTGGCTTTTTTGTAAAAAGTAAAGTTAAAGAACAAACACTTGATTCCATTCCCTTCTGTATTATGTAACTTCTCCTCTTTGGTAGAAGGGGAAATACCCTTTTCTACTAAAAGAAGTTAATCTACCTTTCTATACTGAGAAACTGTGATTCATTTTCCCGTACAGCATCTACTTCTCCTATACAGTGCTGTACTAAACCTTTCTCGGTTTGGGGGCATTTCCCTCCCCCTGCAAAAGAAAGCTCCATTGTTGATGCCACTCAGAACAAGCCATATTGAGAGACACAGCAACAGTATGGTATTACCCTTGCACATCCCTCCAGATAACATCAAAGCTGCTTCCAAGTCCTCTGCTTATCTTCTTACTCAAAGAAAATGAGTAGAAGGACAGGGCTCTGGGAAATCCTTGAATTCCCCAAATTCTTTTCCCAAGAACATATCTCCAAAAATGTAAATAATCTGTACAAGGGCAGCGTACCACCTTTCCCCTCTCCCCAACCACCATCACAATATTCCCAAATACAAGCTGTAATCTGAGGTCATGGGAAATTATCAGGAGCTATTTTTACAGCTTACCATAAACTTATATGAATCAAGCAAACAAAAGAGAGGTGGCGGGGTCAGGGGGAATATAAGGAGGAGAGTAGGAAGAGACTAGAGTTCAGAAAAAGTTCAAGAATCATCATGAGAAATATGATGTATGCTTTTTCTAAACCAATATTAGATTCCACTCCTATCCTGCTTATCACACTTTTTTGATTTGCTAGTGCCAATACTGAGAACAGAACAAGCAGCACATGCCCCTCGCTTCTCCCCTTTTTCACTTCAGTCTGTTTTACTCTGAGATTATGGGAAAGGGTGTATATGCCCTCATTCTTCCAAGAACAAAAGTAAACTAAACTTGGAGACCCTTTAAATGTGAAGTCTTGCTCAGCAATCTCTGCATGCTCAAAGACCAAAAACCCAACCACACTGGGCTGACAAGACTTTAACACACGGCACACCGTGAGGGAAATACCTCAACTTCAGGAATAGTACTAGACAGTTCCTACTTGTATATAGTTCTTCCCCTTTACACATCATTGTTCTGGAGTAGAAGCAGGATAACCCACAATAAGCTACTTCTCCAGCTCAGACACTCAAAAAGCATGGCTGCAGTTCTACCATCCAACTCACTGGGAGCTGCATGCAGAGGAAGAAAAACCCCTGCTGCAGGGTTGCAAACAAGAGCTTTAAACCTCAACAAGAGAAAAAAATATTAGGCCCCTTTAGCTAAAGGGTGTGTTTTCTTTATATGCAGATTGAATTAGGGAAAGCCTCTTTGAATATGTGAGTAATAAATAGGAATGTCCTCTTTAAAAGCTTGATTTCTCTCCACCCAGTCTTGAATTCACAAACTAGAAATCAGGTATACAAAAATACACAAACAGAAAATACTTCATCCACCTTCTTCTCTAACTTAAAAATTGTGTCTATTTTACTACCTGATAACTATGCATTAAAGATTCACAAAATTTAAACCTTACCTTTTGCAAACATTGGCAAAATATCTGGGCTTCCCCAGCTCCACGTATATTTACTTTCATTGAAAACAGAGTCAAATTCCACCGGATTCTCCCTCCATCCTGTTAAGCAAACATACCTGTATTTAAATGAGGTCACCAGAAGATCTCATTGACTGCTGAGACTGACAGTCCATGCAAAATGTTTAAAGCTTCCCTTATATTATTTCACAATGAACTCCACATCGTGAGTCTTGGGTTTACTTCCATTTCAACCTCTATTTGCAATTAGGCCCCCATTCATTAAGAAGTGAGCTGAAAACCCAAGCCAATCTCATTATGCTGGGATTCAAACAGACAAAACACACAGCTGGTTTACCTTCTAAACAGCTAAAATTCTCCTGAAATCTAAATCCCCTGGTGTCTGAACTCAGCTTTTGGCATTTTAGGCAGTAAATTACACTCATATATTTCCAGTAGTCATGTTCCACCTCATCACAATAAAACCTTCAAGATCTTCCGTTTCCATGACAAGGCAGCTGACAGAAATATAGAGATGGTCTTAGTAGCAATTCCTGCCAAACTTGCATTTGTAGCAGATCTCGGAAGAACCTTTTGATTAGCAACACGGACAAGACCAAGTAATTCCTCTTACCTCCCCTGTCCAAAACCAACACAACATTACAAGTGTTCAGGCCTGGAAGCCTGGGGGAAGGCAGAGACCAAGTCAGCAACACGAAGGTTTGTTCCACATTATTAACCACCTAGCAATTATTCAGCTACGACACTGCAGTTCGTTTCTTGTTTGCGACATCTGCTTAGCCATCTCCCATTATATCCCAAATGATAATTAAAAACTCTGTTACATGAAGAGGTCACTCCATAAGCTACTTCTGCTTTTAGACTCAGGGTGCTGTATTTTACCATGTTACAAAATATTAACTTATTGCTAGCTATGAAAACAGCTTACATACTAAGAGGGGGAAAACCATCCAAAATTATACTTTTCCATATAATCTTGGTACACAAACCACTATGCAGGTATTTACCAATAACCATCTAGAAGCCCAGCACATCACTAAAACACCTTATTTTGAAGGACAGCATTCAAAGCTTTAGGACCAGCATACCTTTAGCAACTGCACTGACATCTTCATAAAATCCAGCTATAAGCGCAACGTGCCCTGGCCTGGATTCAGTTGGGACTCGCGTGTGAGAGATTCCCCAGCTGCCATTATTCTCTAGAATACCCCTGAAAAAAGGATACAAGGCAGTTAATGCTTAAGACTTCTTGAAAGTACAATGAATTGCAGATAAAAAGTGACAGGTAGATGCGAGGCAGGAAATGCAAAAGAAACCCAGACTAAAACAGATTTTCACTACCACCTGCTGTGCAGCAAAACAAGCAGAACATTAACTGGCAAGTAGTTCTATATCATAACACCCCACAGAGAACATTACTGTTGTGGCCCATCAGCACTGCAAACAGATGAGTTCAGCTGGTGTTCTAATACACTTAGAATTAACATACTTTTTTTTTTTTTTCTGCTGCTTTCTGCTATAAATTATTTTCCCCACCTAAGAGATTGCTTTTGCCTAGTGTTACTTTTGTTTGTTCTTTCCATTTAGCTTGAAAGTTTCTAGCTCAATCTTTTTTTACTCACTAAATGTACTCAGTTATAATTAGTTCTTGTGACCATGCTTGCCTTCATCTCTGGAAGGCAGCATCAAGAGAATTTAAAAAACTTGTAAATCTAAGATGCAAATCATTTCAGCAACGTGGAGAAAATTTAAGTAACCTTGTAGCTTTTGCAATTACACCAAAGTGAAGGAGAATACCGTCTCACCACATGTACAGAAATAGATAAATTGTCTAGGGCTTATGCACATACAATAGTTATAACAGAAAAAACCCCAAAGAAAATAGAGGACAAAGCCCAAGTGTAAGAAACAGCCTCATAAACTGCTCTTGTCTGCTGAAGATATGAACAGCTGGAGCCTGTTGGAGAGCAAGCGGTGGCATTACCATATGCTGTTTTCTTGTCTCCATCTTCTGGAAGAAGAGAAAGATTCACTGCCCACTGTCAGAGCAAGGGAAGAAAGAAAACAAAACACACCAGGACATACCTTATACTAGTGTCTAGGAAAAAAGCAGCAGAATCTTCTGAAAAAGTTCAAAGCAGTCTTTAAGAGTCAAATCTACCAGGAAATCGTATTTTTGTTGTTAATAGTACAAGCTACAAAATTTGCTATATTTTTATTGGATGTGTTTTAGCCTAAGTGGATTCTAAGCTGATGCTTGGTAACTTTATTTTTAACAGGGATTTTATACAACTGTTACAAGATCTGAACATTCAGCTCTAAATATATTTCTCACTAATGAAGTAAGAATCAAACTACAGCCTAAAATTTCAGGCTCCACTCTAAGCTTGCAGGATTCAGAGTTTTCTTGTTGTTTGTTTGTTTGAACTCATCTTAGACTTCATATTCTCAGGCCTACTTGAAAACTCACAGGAATATTTAGAATAGACCAAACGTTACAGTGAAAAATGTAAAGGTGATATTTATTCCTAGCTCTCATCTCAGCTAGGTTTTAAAACAAGTTGTACTGAAGAAAGTACTAATTTGAAAAAAAAGGATTTATGCATTGGTTAAAGTGGTTTCTGATTCATTCTCACTGGCAACTGATCAAAATGCATTGCACTAACATCAGCAGAAGATTTAAGACAAAAATAAAACACTTTTGGCCTCCTCACACTTCATTGTCACAACAGGTAGGAAATTGTTTTAATTAGAATTTGATTTCTACCGAGTTGGAAAGTAATCCTTTACCTTTGCAGCCCCACAAAAGCATCACAGGATCTGTACGCAACAACAACACACATCAGGCAGAAAAAATATAGCCAGATATTGTCATTTACCCTTTCAAAATTCATTTAGATACTTTGAATTATTTGAAAAGCTTTTACTCAGAAGAACCATTTTAAAAAAATTAATTTCCTTGATGGTATAAACATTAGCTACCCATACTAACAATGATGAACATGAATATGACACAGTAATATGGCTGTAACATGACAGGCAGGGAAGAAAACATCTTCCCCAAAATCACCACCAAAGCAATTCAGACCACCTACCAACCCTCACAACTATCACAACACTGCTGAAAAACAGATTTTTCAAGAATATTTGTAAGAGAAAAGATCGGCTCCAAGCCTAATGGTTATTTATTATTCGTTTATGTACCTACTAAAACTTTGCTTCCATTTATAGCACATTGCTACAAGAATGGTTCTTGCTCATTTAAAGATAATTTTTCCTCATTAACAATGCAGTAGTTCCCAAAGTGCTCCACCTGGATGAGACAAGTAATCTGGCTGTTATGTTGCCCAGTACTATAAAGCGGATAAGGGACAGAACTCTTGGCACTTAGGAATGACTGTGCAGAAAAGTGAACTTTATATTAAATTGCATATATTTCAGGTTAATATTATTGAAAAAGGAAAGCTCAGACAGCAATAACTTGGCAGAATAAAAAAGGAAACACTTCCAGCACCCAACATCTGATCTTGTCGACCTGTTTATGAGGTTACTTTACAAAAGTTGTGTAGCTCAAAGGTTCAGTGACAAAACACTGAGCCTCTTGCTTTGAAATTGTAGCAGTATACGTAATAGAGCTGAAGATATGCCCTGGACTGCCTGGCCCTCCACCTTTCAGAAGGCACAACACTCCACATGTTTCTTCTTTTCCTCCTCCCTCACATACACATGCTCACACACATGTATTTATATGCAGAATGAGAGACGAGGAGAGAAATACAGATGGCACTTCAAACCTCTACTGGCATTTTATCCCACTCAGTGACCTACCAGCGTCTTTGCTTGTTAAAGGCAGTTTTTCCCCTCCATTCACCCATGTACTCTCAGTGCAGGTGACAATGTTTTACTTCTACAGATTTTGAAATAGGAAGTCCATAACTCCACAAACAAGGTAAAGCAAAGACAGCAAAAGTGCAAACTTCCTAACACTGGCCAAACTAATACGTGTTTTAACTTTTTATTTCTAGATAGACATGGTAATGCTGAATGGCTGAAACTGAAAAACTCAAACCACTTAATGGCAAAAACATCCATTATAACTCTTTCCTAGCCACCACCCACCACTACTTGTAGGGAGGGGGCCATTATGATATTCACACCTTGTTGATGGTGCAGAAGACTGACAGTTCTACTGCTCAGAGAAGAAACTGCTCTGGAGGAAGTGTGAAGACCACTGCTAAAAGACAACATGGAAAACTCACACTGATGTGGCAGACATCTGCCAGTGGCAGACAGGACCTTACAAAAACACTAACAAAAGGAGAAGCAGGTACAAGTAATCCCATGTAAGCTGGCAAGTGCTGTAACAAAGGGCTCCTCAGATTTCTGTAGCAAACTGCAAACACCCCAACCGCTTCAAATGATTGATTATTTGGGGTTTTGCTCTGATATTCAAGCCAGACCGTACTACTACACAAAAGCAGTCTTATTTAATACTGTCTACTTTTTTTTAGTCTAAGAAATTATGTGGCTTATGATCAAATAATTATCTTGATATAAGGAAACGGGGAAGGTTGGTGAAAATTAGTTTTAAGCACTCAGGGATACGACTTTTAACACTTTTTTGGCAGGATTCGTTTTTCACAATCTTAAACCAAATCATTCCATTAAGCAATCAGACACACACTAGAGAGCACAAGGGAGGCAGCAGGGTCACGCATGCAGGAAGGGTGGAACAAATAGGAAGTGGCAGCCTGCTGTTAGATCCATTCAGGCCATCTTTTTCAATCATTCCTTAAAAAGCTTCCTCAGTAGCTTAGAATTAGAAGATAAGCACGTTAATGAACTACTACTCCTAAACTGAACATCCAGGAAGCAGTTTAAATTAATGACTCTGTTAGGCTTCAGAATTGATACCAGGCTAATGTCAGTGGAGAAAGTTCACACTCCTCTCAGTTACTGGCTAGCTGTAGTTTTCAGAGAACAATATTGACTCAGTTTACTCTGGTCATGACTTAGCAGCTTTACCAACAACAAGGGACACCGACTGAAATTCATGCTTTCCCGCAGGGTGTAAGTCTGCAAAGTTTGTTGCTTCAAAAGCAGAGGGAAGGCAGTACCTAAGCGACCACAGCGGCCATCAGTCCTCTTGTTCTCTTTTCAACATTACACAGAGCTGCCTCCAGAAGCAAAATCTTCTGAATCAGTAGCGTTTTCAGATGGACTTACCTCAGGTAAGGTGCTTGGGTCGTATCATTGCCGTTCAATTCATACAGCGAATCTGCCCGCAGACCATCAGCAACAAAGAGTACGAGACGTTTTGCTGGAGGCGGCAGTGGAGTCTGCTGAGGAGTCATACCATGAACCAGGGGAGAGCTGAAGTAGATGTCAAAAATGGAGACCAAGAACACAAAATGCACAAGGAGACCAGCAAGTATGAAGACTGGTATACCCATGGCAACAGCGGGCTGGCAAGGCAAAGTCCAACACTGAGAGGGAATGAGAAAAATAAAAGTTAGGCAGATGAGACTTATCTGAATCAGTATTTATTTCATTTGTTATGGAACAGGAGTACCATAACCATAGTCATTACTCAGGATCCATAATAAATCTTTGCTTCCAACAAGCTTTTTCCCAGAAGTTGTGGTCAAAAGCCTCTGCACGGCTAAATCAGACTTTCAGATAGTCATTATGTCTCAGCAACTCATCTCTGGTGTTTAGTGTAGGGTATCAGATGGCTTCAAAAGACCACTGAATGAAGCCAGTTTGTCTGATATTCCGCAGTTTTTTGTTAGCTACATCAGTGACAGAAGACTCAGCCGATGCAATGTCTCCATGATCATACTACCCTCTGCCGGCTGACTGCATGACAGCGTTGAGGTCTGCTCAGGTGAACGCAAGCCAAAAGCAGCTAGGGAAAGCCATCCTATAGCAAACATGCATCCAGAGTCGCTTTTTTCTAACTTTACTCTCAATTCTGGGCTCATTATATTCTGCCTAGAAACAGAAAACTTCTTTTAAAGGAACAAAGATGCTCTGCTGACCACAGAACACGATTCCTCCTCCAAAACAAGTGACGAAAGCACAACAGCTGAAGGATTATGTTTCATGGATAATGATACTCCCTTTTTTAATGCTTTTTTCTGCCCCGTCATCCTCTGAAGTCAGGTTAGGGATACAAATATGCTTAATAACAGCTACACTGGAAATGTACGTGTCTGCCATGCGTACTGAGGAGTTCATATGATGCCCACTGAAGGCAATGTACATATGTATATTGACTCAGGTAAGTGTGGGATCTGAGCCTAAATGAGGCTTAGTTTTGACAAAGCACTATTAGTGCTGTCCAGGCTGCTCAGTTATTTAAATATTAGCTAATTATCAACCTTAACAAAACACCACCTCCATTCACCAGTTTAGAAACAGATGTTCCTAACAGCCTGGAAGGTTCAGATATTCAACTACCTACATAAATACACACATCTCTAAAAGAAACTCCTGGTTTCAGAATCTAGTTAGTGCTTCTAAATGACAATATATAAGTTTATCCTGTTACTTACGGAATTCCAGTAGCTGGACAGACACAGTCAGTCACCACATGGAAAGACTATTATTCTTATAAATAAAGAAAAAAGGCTTCACTACCACATAACCTTAACTCTGATCAAAACTCTGAAAGATGTTTTTTAAAATAAAAATTTTAAATGGCTGGGAAAACCAGAGAAAAAAACCCACACACTAAAAAAAGATTTGAAAGTTAATATATATTATTACTTATTAATCCAAAGAAAATTCAGACCTGTATGCAATGTAACCATAACTTCCAATTCCACTAATTTTCCCTAGTGAAACACAGATGCAACAACTCCAACCTTAATCAGACACATTAATATAATAATTTCTCACTTTAGAGGTTCGGAGAGAAAACCACGTAACAAGACTGAGATAACTAAATACAATATTTTAAAGAGACATGTAGTCACACTTAAGTGATCAAACTAAACCTTTTCATTAATCAGGAATTTACAGGCTTCTATGTCTACAAGTAAGATTTCAAGAGAGACTTGGAATATTTGTAAATATCAGTATTTATTTTTTACATACTTAGGGTTCCTGCATAAATTTAAATACATGAAACCACAGTCACAGAAATACCATTAAGTTGAACACCAGACCTCATTTTAGTCAATCAGTTTTATTTTCCATAGGACTTTTTCTTTTGATGTATTTGTGTTTGATAAGAGAATCCAAACTATTCATGCCTTAAACTGATGAGACTAAACACCCTACTAAACAAAGCAGTTACTTCAATCAGATACTTGCTGTTGTATACTCCCCAGTGCTACAATTCCACAGCTTAACATATTCTAAATTCTTCTAGTTAAAGTATTAGTAACCTAATCTGTTTTCAGCATTAGCTATTCCTCTTTGCTTTAACTCTCACCAGGCCTGAGCTCTTGCTTGCAGCAAAAAGAGTGCAATCAACACAATTCAAATTTAATGCTTAGACTATACTGATCTACAGAATTAATTAAATAAAAAGATACTTTCTTTCGCAACCACAGTTTGAGTACATTACACTAGACTATGCATCTGGGCACAACATATCCAACTGCTCATCACCATCAGATGATTTCAAGACAGGCAGCTCCCAGAACACCAGCTTCTGCCACAGCCCTCACAGCCGCTCCTTCTGCCTCTAGCTTAGCTTACATTGCTCCTCTAATGCACAACATTGTGCATCATCACCATGACATAACATTGTGAAGAGCATCCTATCCGCAGGCTTACAAATACCTTCCCACAGGTATAAAGTGCTTCGAAAGCTCTTAACTGTACCTCTGCTGAATGCCAGAATGGCACCTGGCATCCCCTTCCTAATGGCAGTCTTGCTTTCAAACTACTAAGCCTTAGGGCAAGTTGTTGCAAACGAGCACTGTAGTTAGAGAAGGCTCCAATTCGAAGAACAAAGTTTCAATACAATCCATAGCACTTCTAGAGAGGCACCAGTGACCTTCTACACCTTTTCATCTTGATCAAGTTACAACTAAACTTGGTCATTGCCAGCCCAAAGTGCCTAAAGTTCATTTAAGAAAGCCTATTTGTGAAACGCAACCTCTTGAAACATCCAAAGTATCATAGAAGAACAAAACATTTTCAGTAACTGGTTTTCAGTGGAAAAGGAATTTCTTAATCACTGCCTGGGTTTCTCTGGGACTTCCAAACCAAAGCACCCATTCTACCCCATAGGGCAAACACCCAAGACCAGGCTTTTTTGGACCAAACTTTCCACAGGTCCATCCTCATCTCAGTGTCAGCTCCTCTCAACATATGCTATGCCTCTTGAAGCACACCCAGATTTCTTCTCAGCCTCCAATACTGATACATATTTGACTATTGAGAAGGGCAAAAGCAAACAGAGCCATAGATGACATTTCTTGTGGAGATCCTCTTCTCTAACAGCTGAACAGGGCAGGTGGGGGAGATCTGACAAAGCAGAGCAATGAGACTATCAGAAAAGAATGACTGTGCACATTAGTCCTCTCAAAGGGAGACAACACTCAGGGGAATGGCAAGGCTTGGGCCCTTGAATGCAGAGTTAAGTTTCTGTTTTCACCCATGATGAGGAAACATTGGTTTGCCTAAAAGGTATGGCAACATGAATGAAAATGGGCAAGTTAATTTCCAGAAAGCTTTTCCTAGAAGCAACTTGAAGACAGCCAGAGGGATTCCCTGGGCACACTGCCTGTGACAGACACTGCCACCACCATAGATTCAGACCAGGTTCTGAGCCACCCTACTGCAGATAAAACAGTAACCAAAATAACACATTCAGTCACTCTTATTCACCAAATTACAAAATGACTTATCAGAGACCCGACTAATACTACAACTGGAAACAAACAGATTCAGATATTAATGAAGTTAAGTATTCCTTGTCAAGAAAATGCCTTCACTAGGTCCCTCTGAACTTACAAGTACCACAGCCTAAGACGGACACAGGTGGAAGAGAGTTGAACAAGAGGCTGAAATGGCCCCTTCTCGTATAAAAACCAGTTTGCATTTTGAGAAAGAGGTTGTCTAAGTGATCCATTGCTGCGCAGAAACAGGTCTTGGCCAACAGTGGTTCATTTCTTGGCTGAATTGCTACCAACTGGTACTTCACACAGTTCTTTTAACTAAAAAAAAGACAGGAAGTCGAAGAAGTCAAAAATAGCATCAGAGGTACCATTCAGAAGTCTTCTTCAGTTTGCACCTACACTGGTAAGAAAAATGAAGGTGCTTTATCTTTCCTAGAGAGAGATAAAACAGTCACCCCAGCTACCATCTAAATTAAGGCAGACAGAGCTAACAAGGCCAGACCACCAGCATTTCACTATCATCATTTAATTGTAAACTTTTGGATTTCAAGTGTTAAAATACGTGTCCTGCAAATCAGAGAACAACCCCCTTCCCTAATTGGGGATGCCAAAGTCACCTGAATTCACATTTGCAGGTATTTAAGCTTCTTAAATCTAGAATGGGCTATCATCTTTTACTCTGCTGTGGAACAAGATAATTTTGTCCATGCATTTCTAGCTACTTGATATGAAGAGTCATTAGTTCAATGGATGCCAAGGCAATAGAGAAAAAAACATCTCTTCCTGGAGCAGCCATCCATCCCCCAGAACCCTACTACTAAAAGTTGATTTACCATGGATCACTGAACCATGAAAGGTAAACCATCAAGGAAGAAAGTGAAGGTAAAAGACAGAAGGACCTCTGGGATTTGTGAATGGACCTTCACAGAAAAGGTGGATTAACACTAAGCATTGTTTGTGCTGTGTAATTGCAGCTACAAGCGTTTGTGGCATGAACAGAAGAAAAAGATGAGTATCTCTCTCTTCAAGTATAAATTGGATACTTGTGGTCATCTGTCCTCCACTGCACTCTTGCATGACGGGCCCTCAATATGGAGATAGAAAGCTAAATATTTACCTTGAAAGTATCCTTTTCCTTACAAGATCTGGACATGCTTTTGTGATCTGCGATCTGAAATGTGCAATGCAAGGTCTCGGACTGCAAGTTCAAGGAGGGATATCACTTAGCCACTAACGCAGCCTCCACACAACCCATGCAGGAATAGCTGGAACTAGCTAACAGCACCTCTAAATTTGAAAGTGCACAAATTTCACTCATCTGAGTCCTCTGCCATACAGAGATCTCTTCCACTTCCCTTTTCTTCTCGCTTTGTGCTTTTCAATCACCATGTGACAGCGTGGTTCAAAAGCCAGTCTGCACCTGAAGATCCAATGTGGAAACCAGAGGCTGAACAGGATCTCATAGGTGTCCCGGCATGCCTGTTGGCATCAGGAGGAGCTGCAAATGGAAGCATCAGTATCAAACTCCTTTGTGCCTAGCAGCCTTCTGGCATGCTTTTCTGGCTGGGAAGAGGAGAAAGCAGCTAACTCAATAAAATTAGGGTGCTCAGACATCCCTCAAA